TATCATAATTGTCTTCTAAGAATTATTCTTTGATTCTTGAATTCTAAATACCAACCTAAAAACCTTGCCAATTTAATTTATCTCAGGTAATACTTGCAAGGTGTACGGCTTGCTCCAATTTATTTCTTGCTTCAAAGTAAAACCGTACACAGATGCTGGTTTATGACTCCTTGTGACAGCCAATTTATTGCTGTTGCTGGGTTTTGGCAGTTACACAGACCATTGTGCCCAGGCAGGATCGGCCTAACCCTAGTTTTCCCCTCTTTTGTTTCTTACACCAAGAATTGATGGATGTCAGTACTATATTGCCCTTGGGTTAGAATGTTTTCTGAAAATTTTCAGCAATGTTATTATAGTGCGTGTCACTCAGCCGTAACATATCGGATGAATCCTGAAAACAATATGGCAGATTATAACAGAAAATTATTTCAAACTTCCTTGAGCAAAAAAAAAACAAAACAAAATTGCGATGCTGAACATTTCAGAATTAAAAACAATCTCTACATGCAGCCTGAGGTATGGGTACCTGATGCATGATCACTTTTTTTTTGCCAAAATGTAAGGAAAATACATTTCGGCACGCGTCTTTCCAAAGGTCGCCTGCTGTTGGTTGAGTGAATACTGTCTTGAATATTTATCTCTTGAAATTTTGTCAAAATTTTATAGAATAAATTTACCATCATAACATAACGATTAAAAGAAAACTTACGAAGATAAAACGGAAGGGACTGCAGTCTATTTGACTGTAACTTTAAAATTTCCACCACAATTTTTTTCCATTCTTCAAAAAGTTAGATATATTAGACGAAAGCTGTTTTTCTTGGATATCGACCCAGATAAATTCAAAATTCCAACTGTAAAATTTCCCGAAATTTCAAAATGAAAATTCACTGCAAACCTGAGGTGCGCGTCTGATGCAAATGTATTTTCAGGATTTTCTGTCCTGATGATATATATTTATATACAATGGTCACGAATTTACACTGTACTTTTTTTTCTTTGAAAATTGAGAAATTCAAAGGTTTTAATTTTTTTAGGTGCCAACACTGACGGCATGATTCAACAACTCATGGAACTTCGTGGCCAGCTCCACGCAATTGCGGCCAGGAAGCAGATGGGAGCCCAACAGGGTCAACAACAACGACTTTTCGCACCTCCCAAAAACACCAGGGTTTGCCCATAAATTTATAAAATCTCACACATAAAAGAATGACTGAATGATTGAATAAATAAATAAGTAAATAAATAAACAAATGTATATATATATTTTTTACGGTATATATACCTCTCCTTCATAGGAAGTCAGATGAGTACTGTGAAATGTTTAACCAATTTTGTTATCTCGATATATATATAGTCATCTTTTAAAGTCAAGCATACTTAAAGCAAGAAAAACCACGAATTATTATACTTCAAATTTAAATGAATTTACTGCACTTTCCGACAAATGAAATTTCAAAAATTTACTTTTTTCACCTTCTCCTATCCATTCTCCTTCTCTAAAAAATTCGAAACCTTATTTTCGCACTCGTGCTTTTCTGCTGATACGTCATTTTAGGCATTTTTGCAGTCCTTGTCAATTCAAGGGATTTTTGAAGAACAAAAAGAACAAAACATTATTTTACTTCAACTGTTTAACCAGAGGAAAAAACGGCAAAATTACGCATTTCTGATTCTGTTCCTTGAAACTCAAGTAAACGTCTCAGTATTTTAAGCACGAGCAAAAAGAAAAAAAATCGCTTTGAATACAATCCATAGTTTTCTTTGCAATGGAACTACCACCAAAATATTTCAGATTTCAGGGCAGCATTCTTTTGTTGAGCTAATTTTAAAATACGGTAATCTCAATTTTGCCACACAAAAAAAAAAGAGTGGAAACGGAGAATTGAAAAATAAGTGGCATTTTTCGCAGATGATGCGATTCCGGGCACCATCGCGACATTTTGGGTACGATGACAACAGCGAGTATTACAATAATGGACGAGCCGGGTTTGGCCAGGATTCGGGCAAGTTCAGCAGACGGGAACGGGTTCGCCAACGCCTGCAAAAAATGCATGTCCCCACTTGGGACGCTAACCATGACGCACATCTTGACTGAGCTCTTATTTCAGCATGCTAATAAATTCCATCATCTCCACTTTTATCTGGTTTATTATTTCTTCCAAAAGGATTCAGGGATGATCTTCATTGAGACCATAAACTATACCAGCAGAGACCCGGAAAAAAATTCGTCACTATACAAAACTTTGCAAGATTGCTTTTTAGGAAGAGACATGAATTTCTTGGAATCGTTTTTCTTTCTCTGGGCATACCAGAATATTGTCAAGAAATTCAAAATATTTCTGAGCAGAAATAAACGCACAATGACAAAAGTAAACATGCATCTGACTATAGTGAACAAATTCTCCCTGCTGAACTGAAGTCATCTTTAATTTTAATTTTTGTAAAATTTTTGCACCGAAGCCAATATTGATCCACAAAATTGTAATTCAATTATGATTGATCCTTTCAAGTAGGAAGAAAATTCGGTGGCAAAATTCATTAATTTTGATCATGTTGAGGGACAAAATAAAATCAACCGAGACTTAATACGTGGCAATAAATCTTGAAAATATAAAATATATTTTCAGGATCTCGTCTGCGGTGTTTCTGCCAGAACCTACGAACACACTTTGTTGGAAAATAATTTAATAATAATTTGCTTAATTCCGCGGAATTTTTTCCAACAGAGTACAGTATAATCTCTTACAAGATTCTAATTTACGCAAATTTTTGTTGCAATAACCTTCCAAATAAAGACAAAAAATCAATTATGAAAACACCTTTTATCGAGAATTTCTGAAAAATTTTTTTTAATAATTTAGATGCTGGTTCTTTCAGCTGAAGCTTTTTGGCCAAATCGAAGCATATTCGAGCGGAAAAATTAATCAGCATAGCAGAAATGAAATGTTCAATATTTAATGAAAATTAAATATTCTTTGGCTATATTCCTTTTTCAATTGGTTGCTGCTTTGCATTGGGAGAAGTAAACAGAGCAAATAAAAGGTTTTTTCATACTATATTTCCTTAAACATGCCAAATTTCAAGTCCGGCCCTGAGATGAAACGAACATCGCAAAATTTCCAAAATTGTCATGGCATGTGGAATGCACTTTTGAAGAGGACACAAACCACCGAAAGAGATTCAGTAGTATTGCCTATCGTAGATATCAGAATTCGTAATTTTTCCACACAAAAAAAAGGTTGACCAAGGGTTGATGGAACTCTTCTTTCAGCAGTTGCCTCGTAGACTTCATATAATACGTTACTTTTCCACAAGAAAAAAATAAGTTGGATAGAACTCTTCTTTGGGTCGCTCATTCATTCAAGTACATCTCAGGTCAAGCAGATATTGACTCAAAATTTTCTCAGGCTCAACAGCTTTCTTTCATCGCCCCCAAATAACAGCGATAATTTCATTTAGAAATCGCGCAGGCTTCTTTTAAATTGTCATGCTTTTTTCTTCGCAATGGCCGATCAAAAAAAATCAGGCTGAGCAGAAATGTTTATGTTTAAGTTCAATAATGTGCAATGAAAAATCATTATTTCATCGTTAATGAAAAAACGAAAATCGACGTTGCGTGGACTTGCTGAGGATCGAGCGCGGGCTTCGATATAGCAAGTTAACTATATACAGCACATATTGTCCCAACACCGGATTTCTGTGGCTCTCTTTCCGCCAGAAGGAAGCACGAAACCGTGAAAAAAATAGAAAAAAAAGGCTGAGAAACCATGTTTTCTTGTGTTACCGGAAACTGTTTTATTTATTTACCCTTTCATGTGAAGTTGTATACTGCACTATATGCAATAGAATCTAAAAGAAGCATGACTTTTTTTTTTACCTGCGTCTTGAAATCGATCAATACTCTCTCTCGCAAAATTCTGATCGATAAAAAAAAAAAAAAACAACGTATCAAAATTATTAACGGCTTCGTGAAATAAAAATTGGCGTTGAATAAAAGCGGAAAAAAAACTTCATACTGCTCGCCTTTTCTTCGAAGTGATTGCTGGCAGGTGAAAATATTGTTCGTGCTGGAGTGAAAATTGAATTGCGTTCGTGTTTTGAATTTGATTTTGTTCTGAAAATTTAGATTTAGATTTGATAATTTATTTTCCTAATGTTCACCCCGAGCAATCGAATTTCACGTACGTACTGTATCAGACAAAAAGGTAAACTTTAGTCTTGATATTTTCGATTCATTATATGAACCACATTATTGTCCAGATTATTAAAAGTTATGCTATCCTCAAGCACATTCATTTGGTGTTCTTCGTTCTACAGTGAATCTTCAAAAGCGTGCAAAATTTCCGTGAATGTCATGAAAAGTCACGGAAGTTTCAAGACCTGGGCGGGGAGGAAATCGCTTTCTTCATTGCATTCGGCGTTGACTGCGGTGTATGTGTTGAACTTGATTGAAATTCAATAAAACCATGGACTGTTGAGTGCATGTAGAGTTCTTGTGTGACATTAAGATCTGTGAGGACTCAGAAGACCAAGAAACTTTGCTCTTCAAAGAGCACAGCACGACATGAAGTTCCCCTTGGGAAGGGGTTGGAACTTGCGAACAGGTCAGTTTTCAGAGATTTATCTGAATGATAAACTTTTTAACACATTTTTATTAACTCGCTTTCTTGTCTGTTTGTTTGTCCGGATCAAATTTTGCAACTCAAATTAATGCGCACCACGTTTAAGGTTATTTTTTCCTTTTTCAAAACATGGTTTTTTAGATTAATTTTTCAATTTACTAAATTTTTTTATTCCGAACTTGAATAGAAAAAAAAATTTTTTTGCTCTAGATTTCTAGAACATCATATGACATCTATAGTCTCACGATGAGAGACATTTTTTCTGAGGATAAGCAAATATTTCGAATGAATTTTTCCAAATTGATCTCCAATAAGTTGGTCCACCAACGTGTCCCATCCAGTTTTGGTTGAATAAAATACGTGTGTTCATCTATCAAAATTTTGTAAAAGAACTAATTTCCTTCTCGAGAAAAAGATATTTCAAAGTTTATGGGTACGTCCGCTCACTCCCTTCAAGTCCATTCTGCGCTTATTTTTTTTTAAATAATAAAAATATTAGCGTTATCAAGAGGCTTCATACTACATTGAATATGTTTGTATGCTTCTATTCTTCTCGTTTGAAACAAATTTAGGGATAAACATTCCCATCAGACATGGAAAATTTAACAAAGATTAACCGCCTAAATATTCCGAATCACAGGAGTTTAACCCTTGAAAATGTTTGCCAAGCAAAATGGGCATCCAACGAGATTCCATTTTAAAATTTGAATTCATCCAAGATGTGTTTCCGGACGTTATTTTTATTGCGGGGGGGGGGGGGTTGGAACTTGAGAAATCCGTGAAAAATTGTAGCCTCAAGATCAGGAAACGAATCTTGTATGACGGTTAGTATTTTCAAGATTACATCGAAAATTGTAAAATGCAACCGATTTAAAATTTGGCAAACAACTCAACGAGACCAACGATCACACCTTCGTTGTCCATATCGCCAGTTATTTCTTTTTTCTCTTTCAAATAATGATGAGGAACGGGATAAATAGGTAAAATCCAGATTTTCATCTCTCTCAAAGAACAGTTTTTGTGGAAAAAGTCGCATTCGATTTGAAACGAATATTGTAATTGTTTCCCCTTTTGTAAACGACGCACTCAGGAAACTTCTCATTTTTTTCTACTGGCACAATTGGATTTGATGCATTTTCCAGCCTTGCGAATCCAAATGCAAGTTTTCTGGAACGAGTCAAACTGACACGTCTCGCAATGTTCCGAATATTCGAAATTGATAATTTTCTTCGAATTGGCAAATAACATGCATGCGAGAAAAAGATAAGAGAGAGAGAGAGAGAGAGAGAGAAAAAAACACAATAATATACACAAAGGCCAATTTATGGATCTTCGTTCATGGGTTTCGTGACGTCACCCGCGGTGGTTTCGACGAGGGCCCCTCGGGGGCAGGGTTGCACAACCTTTCGATGCTGGGTCATCAATAATTGGTGCCCGTGGGGAAACCTAGACTGCCGCGCGCTTATAATCGGTACTCTATTGCGTGAACGGAATCTTAACGAAGAACCCTTTTCACGTTTTTTTTTCACGCATATTTTGTTTATGCTATGGCATCTGTTTGCAACACTCGAGTTTTGGTGAGTCAATACTGAGAGAACCGGAATGTCTTCTTTCATCTGCGGATTGAAAAGAGCATGTACAGTACTCAACAAGTTTATTTTTGTTTCAGTTCCGTTCTCTTTTTTTTTGCGGGAAAAAAATTTGGAAGCAAGTTCAGTTGCATGGATTGAAGCAAATCGCTAGTTGCGGTACATCCAGCAGTACATCAAAGTAATCCACGAAATATTCTTTAAACCATCGTTCCCCAACCTTTTTTGACCCATGGACCAATAAATTTGCATAAATTTTTTTTGAGGACCAGCATATTTCCATAGAATTTTCTGCAGACCAGCGGCATTCCATAAAACTTTTGCAGACTGCCAGAAAGAGTTTTAAATACAGCGAGACCCCAAGATTCGGACGTAATTGGTGCATCAAGAGTGTCCCTAAGTCTAAATGTCCCCAAGCTGAGTCTAATTTTTCCTTCGACTTGCATTACATAATTTTTAATTGGTGTTTTTGTGCAAAATACTCACCATGATTCCATGAAAATTAAAATTTCTCCCCAATTTAAACTGATTCCAATCAATATGTTTCAACACAATAGGGGCATTTTGGGAATTGAATACTGATACCTCTGTACAGTACATAGAAATGTTGGCATTCTCTGTAAAAATACTATTCAAGAGAGAAAGAGATAGAGGAAGTCCCTCTCTGACATAGAAATGTTGGCATTCTCTGTAAAAATAATATTCAAGTGAAAAAGAGATAGAGGAAGTCCCTCTCTGCTGGAGTTTTTTGAATTAGCTAAATGGATGGTAAATTGGTGAGAGAAATGCCCCAGAACTTCTCTTACATCAATTTTAGGGTTGGAATTATCTGTTTCTTGTAATTTGGCCTGAAATGTATTTACAATTTTATAAAAAAATGTCCATATGTTGAGTCAGTGTCCTCATGTCAGGCCTTTTTTATTAATTTTTCATGATAGAATAAGTGTCACCATGTTGAATTGTCCACAGGTTGAGGTGTCCGCATGTGTGGGTCTCACTGTACCTTCCATAAAGTCCCCCAAATAAAACTTTCATTTCAAAAATTAGGTTAAGAACCAGTAAAGCAGTT